TGCTGCACAAGCCAAAGATATCCTGGTGGTGAGACTCAGACCTCACTTAATCTTCCATTGTTCTGCCAAACACTCTTTCTGTGCTTCAAGCAGCACTTTGAAGGGTTTCTTGCATTTGGTGTGAAACACTCTCTACAACATTAAAGCTACCATACAAACATCAGCTTAGAGCAAAGTTTTTCTCCAATATTTGCACAAAGACAGCCACGTCACCACAACATAGCATCATGATAGAAAGATCAGGGATAACTAACACTGTTAGGTGATGTGGAGAGGCCTCTTCACCCATCAAGAAGCACAAAAAGAAATTATTTTTATCAGAACAATGCCTTTCTCTGACTGTGAATGCGTTTGAAAATGTAGTCAGTGATCAGACATCTTTGTCAATAGCTGGAATAAATTTGTCTTTTTGTATCACAGGGAGTGCTGCACACATTCCAACATGTCTTTGATGGGATGGTTAACCCAAAAGGCGGCGAACCATATTGGGTGTGGCACTGAATGACTTTCATTTGAGCACACTTTACTTGTAATCACACCCACACACAGACAGACATGCACACACATGTTACTCACAATTGTAGTGAGTAACCCACTGCCCTCCCTCAGAGCCCCAACCATAACCGTTTCCATCACATTCCCAACATTTATACCAAGACTACACAAGCACCAACATTACTCAAATGTATTGTTGGATGATCACAGCTATAACAAATTGTGTTGTACGTTGGCTGATAGGGGAAAGGCAATATAGATTTGAAACATAACAATATGGAGCTGATCAATTAATCAAAAACATTTTTTTTCAGTGAAAATGAAATGCAAATATGACCATTCCCAGTAAAATCATGATTAATATCACAATTTTTGTCAAAATAATCGCAATATGATTTTTTCTGGGGGATAATCCAACAACTAATAAGACAAAAGAAATCTAGCGACTTCATCACACAAATATGTCTGACCATCTTGCTCATTGATTTGCAACATTACCCACATCCAGTTCAGTGTGCAATATTTCTGAATATCTATCGACAGAAATGCAATATAGGATCCATAACTATGTTTTCAGTGGTGTATAAAGACCTTACAAACCATTATGCATTTATTAAGTTAGAATGAGCCATTTATATCTACATACACCGCGGGGCCCCGCTTCCATGGACGTCGCCATGTTGCATCATCATGTTTCTACAGTAGCTGAAAACGGACAAACAGCACTACAGAGCGTGTTTCGTCACTACTTTGTCCTTGTTCTACTTCTGGTAGAATTCAGGCTGTGCACTAGATGCGTACCGTGCCGGAGTCCAGCCTAACCATGCCCGCTTGAAGAGGAGAGTGTGAATGCATGTGCAAAACCCAAAGAAAACTCGTAAAAATGTTGTTTCATATTCAATATACTGTAGTTTCTCCAGCAGAGTGTGTTGTTAACAATGCTTTGCAGCTTATGAGAAGATAATCCATCACTGCTAAACCGACAATAGTTCAAAGTGTGTTATCCTGAACATCCACTGGGCACTGCTGGGTCACGGATGCCAGAGCCAATCACAACCAGTCTTTCCAATCTGCCTCAGAAAGACCTCATTTCATGTAGGCTGCAGAATAGATGAGTCCCAAGTACAATGTCTGAGATAATAGTGTGAATCAGCTCACCTGTCCGACAAAGTGGTATTAGTGCATTTTGGCCATCCACACAAAACACAGCGGAGCTCCCCAACTGACACGACAGATGATCACTGTGACAACAAGTTGTGACTGCGCGAGTCAGCTCAGACTAATCTCAAATCTAACCAGGAAACCCAGTTTATTTTATTTTCATCCCTAAGCTGTTCAGTCTCCTCCTGTCTCTGCAGATACAGCTCAGACAAACCATCAGGTTTTGCTGAGGCTGAAACATTTTCCACAAATCTGGGTTTGTGGTCTACTAAGGTGTTTGGAGAATGTAAGTCTGACCAGTTCAGCCATTTTCTCTTTATCTTGCTGAGGAAAATTCTTATCTAGATATTTTCCTTTGCTTTTTTTATGCTTATCATAGGCCAACGACAGAATAATTATATTTTTTTGAATTTCTTGCTAAAACCTTTGACAAAATGTGTCAAAAACTAATAATGGTTAAACATGAAAGCTTAAGGAATATTCTAGGCCTAATGCTCGGCGATTAATCAATAACTCCATTAATCAAGCAACAATTAATCAGCAACTATTTTATAAAGTGATTTAAGGGAAGACATTTTTTTAATTTCTCCAGGTTCCAAAATATCTCTTTGTTTGTTGGACAAAACAAAACACTTGAAGATGTCACTTTGGTCTGTTCGGCCATTTTAACTATTTTTACATCAAACAATTAATTGACTTCACAAGAAAATAATCAACAGATTAATCAATAATTTAAAAAAATCATTAGTTATTGGGAGTGTATGACAATTATACATGACAATGCTAGTCACGAGAAGCTTTGCAATTAATCACTCTTAACAGAAAAATTGTGAGAGATTACCATAAACTCAACCCAAACTAAAGACCTTACCCTGCCTTTAATCTACAGCTGGTTTTGAGGGAGTGCCTTGGCATTTTATATCCTGGTCACAAAGTTTTCGGTTTTCTTTTCCAGCTACCTTAAATAGTTTGGAATGCTAACAGGTAGCATTCCCAGGCTGAAATAAGTTCTTGCCAATACCTGATAGGCAAACCTGATTGTAGAACAATGGCAGAAAACAATGCAATTCAACAAGTATCACTGCAAGACAATGTCAAGTGGAGTGTGAAAAGGAAGCGTATGGCTTGTGTCTGGAAATTCAGTTTAGCAAAAGAGTAAATCCATAAATTCTTACTTTAGATAAGTTAAATAATAAATTTAGACTGTGCAGGGACTGGAAGAAGATACATTGTCCTCAAATGATCTGTTTTCTCTGGCCAGTTACTGTTGTTTGCATATTAAAAGCAAGTGTCCTTTGAATTCCCCCTTGCCTCACCTACTGGGAAAAAAGTATTTTTCTTAATTATTAGTCACCCCTCCAGGAAAGAGTGAGTCAGTTCAGCTCCCAGGCATTGTGAACCAATGAGGGAAGAACGCTTCCGAAACATTTGCAGTAAGACTCACTGCTGTCAATGTAATGCCATGTTGACTGATTTTCTTAATTTATGTTCCATGAACATCAAAAGATTTCAGGACGTAGCTGGAACAGGTAGTGATGATCCTATGATACTATGCCTTTGTCTTTAGCAAGACACGCATCAGAACTGTCTTTAAAAACATTTAAATCGACACAGACCTATAGTGATGGCTGTAAGGGCACCGCTATCTATCTGTTTTTCCTTTGGTATTTGTCTGCAAAGAGGAATGCAATTGGAATGTTATAAAATCATCATTGAGACCTCTATGTCTTGTGGGTTTCCTAGGTGCAAAAAAATGCCTGCTTGAATTTGAAAATGGGTGTCTCTGCTTCCGGCTGAAGGAGTGAGACAACTATCAATGAGGATACAATACCATTTCATTCCTGAAAGGCCCCCCCCCCCCTCCCTCCCGTTAAAATGGGGCAGATAGTTTACCACACACAGCTCCTCTGGCTTTGTGCCTTTCTCATGGTAATTGCTGGGAGCTGAAAACAGAGTGCGGTGCCAAACACCCACTGCACGTTGAACTGGGCAGAATTGTAATGACTGTCCATTAAGCTCAGAGGGCCATTGCTAGATTGTGAAGAATTAATTCAACATTAAGGCCTATGATGGACTTAACATAGCAGAAAAGCATAGACCTGATGAATTCATATACTGTATGTCTAATTATACTGTGTTATTCATTCAATACTCTTGGCTGCAACACAACCTGTGAACAAAGTCACTGTAACATTCCTGGAGGTCCATGGTGCCACGGAGCCTCTGCGACAAAGTGCAAAAAAGATTTTAATATAATATTTTAATACAAGCATCCTATATCTTATTGCAGGATTATTCCATTTCTATTATGTAAGGATATACACTTAGTTGCCAGTTTATCAAGAACACCGAGCTAAAACCAGTGAAGCTTAACAACAATCCTGCAAAATATGACCTCTATGTAGGTTATAATGTTTTTGCTGAAAGGAGACCTGTTGATTCAACTTTACGGTCATTTTTGAGGCTGCAGTTTACATTTTACAAGCAAAACAAATAATTCCAGAAAATAGTTTGATGAATACTCCATGAAAATAATCCTTTATTGCAGCCCTAGTTTGTGGTGATGTGGTGTTATACGGAGAAAAGCTTCATTTAATCTGCCCTTATTGATATAAATGGGGTGGACAAAATATTTGAAACACCCCTCAGTACAACATATTATTCAACAGCACCACAAACTACATCCATAAAATGATAATAAAGTTGATTAAACACCTTTTCTAAAGATGTTTACATTACATAACCACTTACTGTCTTATTAGACTGTATTAGTTGTACCTAATAAACGAGTAAGTTGGGCTAAGCCTTCATCCTACCAAACATCTTATATCTGTTGGTGAGATGATGCTTCAAAAAAAGTCACAGTTTGAAAACCCAGATTCTTGGGGTCGTGAGGTTGTATTTCCAGTCACACAAGAGACCATGGCAGTCCCCGGTAATAACAACCAGGACGCATTTTGGTGCACAGATTCACGGAGATTTCTTTCTGACCTTTGTGAACAACAACAACACAGTCAGCTGCCATAGATTTAGGCCAGAACAATAAAAAAGTGAACCTGACTGCACGCAGTATAACAATCGGCCACATCCACCCCTCGAGCAAAGGTGCAGGTGCTTAAACTTGCTGGCGGTGTATTTTCCAACCACACAACAGCCGCCGTGGGAACATGACCGAGGTTAACGTGGTTGTTGAGGACAGGTCAGGGATACAAACAATAACCCCCCGCTCTTAAAACACAACGTCTACCATAAGGTGGTGGAGGTCGATTAACACAAAGCTAATTCAATGGTAAGAGACAAAGAATCTTAGCAAAACTTAGTCAATAGAGGAAAAAACAACTTACTGTGATTGTAACTTCGTGCTTTTTCAACCGATACTTGAGGCTCTTCATCTTGTATCATGTGTTGGATTCTGGATTCTGGTGTTAAAAGCTTCCGTTGGTGAGTAAGTTCATAGATAGTACAATAAACTTTCCAGAAAGTTCAGACGAAGTCAGTTTTATCTGTCTCCTTCTCCTTAGACAGCGAGTTTCACCTGACGCCTAACCGCAAACTATGCTCGCACTTTGATTGACAAGGGGTGGAACCAATCAAATTGAACCATGCGTGGTCCTGTTTACTTTTGATCCAATCGGCGACGTCTGAAGGCGGGACTTCCTTGCAAAGTGCAGTTTTAGACATCCTTGGATGGCGCTGGTGAAACCTGGCATGACGTCAGACTTACCTGAAGCCGAAACACCTGTAGAGAGTGCTTATGAATGTATAAGCAAGCTGGAATAAAAACTCTCCTTATCTGTTATTTACAGTAACTTATTTTAATAACTACACAAACTGTCTGTTGCCTAGTTAGCTGTCTGTTAGGTGTCAGGGAACACCTATCTTAACCTTACACTTAATAACACTTTCTAGGCCAGCCCAAATTTCAGGCGGAATATTCCTACCTTTAACGCCACCATTTAGATCTATCTGATGGCTGTTGTTATTACTTTACACACAAAACGTATAAACTCATAAAACATGGTGTGATTTACTGCAAACCGGGCAAGACCATATAAAAGAGTTAGACCTATCACTACTTTGACCACATTCTGCAAGTAGTACTAGGCTAGTAGTAGTTTTTATGTGTTTGCACATATAAGTGCCCAGACCACACAGACTAATAAGTCACCAAAAACAGAGTTGCAGGGACAAAACTACATTGTTTGTTGGAAAATAATGTAAGTCTTTATACTAACATTTCATCGCAAACAAAGACTGCAGTTTCAATACTGATCTCAGTGCTATACCTGCCAACACATTCCCTAAGAGTGAGATCCTCATACAATATAAAGTCTAAATATTTATATTTGTCAGTATATAGGCTATGACAGCACTGCTGTCATAATATACAGGATATTTATAGTAGCTATATATAAATATTTCAACAATTTGATTAGGAACAACATACTTTATATTATTATTTACTATAACAGAAAATAGACATTTAAGAATGTGTTTTCACACTGACCTATTGCTGCTTTTACCTCAGTGAAGCAGTTGAAGTATTGATTCACCATTTCTGCCTGGATTAGACAAGTAGAATGGAATCTACAACCTCCAATAAACCCTGAGAATAAATGAACTGTCATTACTATCTGCATTTATTATCTAATATAAACAATCATGTCTATCTACATCTAAATATAAATACAAGTGATTAAACCTATTTACTTAACTATACAAACAGTGTTGTAAGTTATACTTGGAATAAAAATATGTGTCACCTGAAATATCTCAAATTTAGCTATATACTTTCTAGAACAAACACAGACTACCTACTATCTCCAATTATTATGGTGGATAAAAAATAACCATCTGTGAGAAAAATGCTTGAAATGTAGATAAGAAATTATGAGACTTATACTGTGCTGTTCACTCTCACTTTACAGTGTGCCAACCTGCCCTCCATTCAGGACTTATACATTTCCAGAGACAGGAAACGGGCAGCAAACATCACTGCAGATCCATCTCACCCCGGACACAAACTGTTCCAGCTCCTCCCCTCCGGTAGGCGCTACAGAGCACTGTTCGCCAAAACCAACAGACTCAGGAACAGTTTCTTCCCACAAGCCATCACTCTGATGAACAGTTGATTTCTGACTCACAGTGTCAGGAATAATTCCTGTACAATAACCCAGTAACTCTGTCTCTAATCAGCACCTGTTTACTGGTTTCCACTTATTATTTTTTTATTCACCATTCACCATTCACACTTGATTTCAGTGCTGCTCATACTATGTTTATACTATGTCATATTGTATATACTGTATACCAATACACCTACGTCAGGTCATAAGGTCATACTTTAACATGTACATAATGAGAATAGTTTACTCTTGCATCCTTTGCACTCTGATTACTGCAATATTTGTCAATATGTCTATATTGTTTTTTTCATACTGTGTGTATATTATATTATTATTTTATTATTGTATAAGTAAGCACATCGTGAGCAATGTACAATCCTGAGTCAAATTCCTCGTATGTGTACACATACCTGGCAATAAAACTGATTCTGATTCTGATTCCGATATGTCGTTATATAAAACCATCCAGCTGACTTACACCAGTACAGGACACTTTTACACAGTTTTGTCTGTGATTGGTCCTAGAAACGTATTATCCTGCCATTTTACACAAATATAAAATAATATACAATAGGACTGGAAGATAAACAGATATTACACATGATTATATAGGTTACAAAAGTATTTACTGTTTACGTCTGAACTAGAACCAGTAAATAAGATGTTACATCATCCATTGATGTAAGTTGCTCTTTAAAATACTATTTATACCAAAGACAATTTAGACTTCAGGTTTTATATAAATAAAAATATCTAAGCTTGGTTAAGGCTTATTTATTTCCTTTGGTACACAAGCCGGAATAATTAGCAGAGACATTCAAATGAGCAAATCAGTTCCTAACAAGGTAGAGTTAAGAAAGTACAATCATTGGTAGTACAATATTGATTACTGTTGGTTGGACAAAACAAGCATTGTGAGTACATGTCACTTTGGATTATGATAACTTATCCAACGAAGGTTAAAATGAAGGGCAACTGGACTTGGTTGAAGCTACTGGAAGACGTTTCGTCTTCCAGTAGCTTCAACCAAGTCTATGACCTATGACCTGGATGACTGAGAATCTTCATAGACATTATGATAACTTGTAATGAGAATCTTCATAGACATTATGATAACTTGTAATGGGCATTTCTCACTATTTTCCTCTTCTTTACAAACCAACCAATCAATTAATTGAGAAAATAATCAGGATATTAATCCTTAACTAAAATAATTATTAGTTGCAGTCCTATACAAATAGTTTTAAAAAATAGCGCCACCTCAACCAACAAGTAATATCCTTTTACATTAATACATGAGTAATAATAATTACATATTATTACAGTGTGGTAGGCTTTTAGTACTTTTATGCTGCTTAAGTAATTGATCTTCCTCCATCACTGGCTATGTTCATATAAATAAATTAGTTGTCAACTAGGGCCTACATTGCCATCATTTGAAATACAAATCAACAGATATGGGTAAAACAGGTGGATATTGAGTTTTTGGGAGAATCGATCCAAAGGAGGGGGAAATGCTGCCTCCTTGTGGTCTTTAATCATCTCGCGTTTGCTAGGGCTCTCTCCTCACTCACAGGTTTACTTAAACAGCCAGTCAATCAATCAACCAATAGATAATAGGAGGGTTACTGCAACATGCAGTGGAGGGGCTGTTTTTTTGGTTTCCAGCTGCCCTCCGTCCTCTACCGTCGTTTATTGCATGGCATAATTTACTTTGAGGAAATATTTACTTAGCTAAATGCTACATAGTGTGAAATGTGTCTCTGTCTGAGCAAACTGTGTAGCAGCGTCACCATGGAGGCATCGCTGCCGTTGCTGTGATGTTTGTCTCGGCCGAAGGCGCGAAAACACATTACCGATAATTTTGGGACTGTAAAAAAGTGATGATACAGCCCAGAGGAGACTATGGAGGGCTGGTGGCGTAGGAAATATTCAGATCCTTTATTTAAATCTAAGTACTAATACCCAGTGGTGGACAGCTCTAAGTACATTCGCAATTAGCCCCATAATAGGCGACTTTTGTACTTTTAGGCTACTTAAGTAAAAAGTAAGTACAAGCTCCCAGTATGTCTTCCACCACTGCTATATCACACTGTAAAACACTCTGTTACAAGTAAATATCCTGAAAATTAAACTTGAAAACCACTTGAAAATTTACTTAAAGTAAGCATGTTAAAAGTAAAAGTAATCAATACAGAAAAATGGCCTCTGACTGTTATACTATTATGTATTATATCATTAGATTAGTAATACTCATGTATTTATGTAAAAGCAAAACTTTACCGTTGTAGTTAGTTGAGGTGTGCAACTAATGATTAATTTTATTATGGATTAATGTTCATATGGATTAATTTAATCTGAATGCCCCTCACAATTAATTAGAGCCCAAAGACACAGAGATGCTTCTTTTATCTCACCAAAGTTAAAAATTAAGAATGATTAAATATAAATTAGAATTGTTACAATAATTTAACATAAATAATAAAGTAAAACAATTTGCATTAAAAGTTACTTATTAGTGGCTAATTGTTTCAGCTCTACTTTATATTCTGTTGGATATTTTCAGATGTTTTGTTAGCAAAAATCTATAAAGTAAGTAGGAACTAAAGATGTCAAATAACTGTAGTGGAGTAAAAATTACAATATTTCCTCTGAAATGTACAAACAGAAAGTGGCATGAAAAGAAAAGACATCAAATTGTACTCAAGTACAGTACTTGAGTAAATGTACTTTGCCCAAATGGCTGACGGGGGACTGATTTAGTGCATCGTCTTGATCCTGGTGTAGTCTGTCTGGACTTGTATTATTTTGATCTTGTTTGCCCTGTGTTTCTATGTCCTGATCCTCGTTTTAGTCTGTTTCCCTGTTTTGTTTGGAGTTAGTCTGTCTGTATTAGTTATTTAGTCTGCTTGTTTGTTCTGTGCTATGAGTGTTGTTTCAGTCTGTTTCCTGTCTTGTTTGGTTTTGGTCTGTGCTTGTAATCAGTTTTGCCTTGTCTGTTCTGGGTTCGGGTTCTAATTGTAGTTTGATTCTTTTCTTGTATTCTGTAACCTGTCTGTGTTCAGTATGTCAATCATCGTGCTTAAATGTTTGTCATTTCTGTTCTGTCCTTGCTGGGCTGTTGTTTGTCTCTCTGTCGCGTGTGTCTGCTTGCCTGCCTGTCTCAACAGCCACGTTATTCTCTGTTTATGGACTTGCTGTCCTGTGGATTACCTTTGTTTGTGGATTTCCTTTGTTGAGTTTTGTCACCGCAGTAAGTTTGGTCACTCTTCTGCCTTCATGTCCTGCATTTGGGTCTTTAACGTGAAACTGCCCAAGCACACAGCAAATCCGGACATGCATTGAATCTAACTAAGATAGTAATATAGTTTTTTTAAAATATTTATAAATATGTCACGGTAGGACTAACCTGCAAAGAACCCTGAGG